TCCGGTGATTCTTCCGCCTCAGCCTTCCAAGTAGCTGGAACTATAGGCGCGCGCTACCACGCCCGGCTAAATTTTGATTTATTGTAGAGATGAGGTCTCGCCAAGTTGTCCAGGTGGGTCTCGAACCCGCGGGCTCAGGCAATCCACTCACCTCAGCCTCCCAAAGCGCTGGGATTACAGGCTGAGCCACTGAGCCTGGCTTATGTTTTTAAAATAAAAAACAAAAACCAGCTTGGAGAAAATACTAGAAAGAACGAACACATGTTCATGGTGGGTGTCTTTGGATAATGGGATTATGCATGATTATTTTAGTCCTTCTACTTGTATGTATTTCTCAAGATTTTCATACTGCAAAGGATGTGGTGAGGGATACATCTTAAAAGGACATAGACACATGCCATAAAACAAAATCAAGACTAGGGCAAACTGACTAAGACCCTGTAAGCACCTGCTTCTTCATTGCTGGAACTGATGTAAAAGTCATGGGGTGGGATTGAAGCCTGCACACTTCAGTTAGATTTAGGATTTATGAAGAGAGTTGTTGAGGCCACCCTGGTTTCTTTCATGAGAAGCGATCATGTATGCCCCTTGTTCTGCTGAGACCCCCAGGTTGCTGCTTCCAGAGTCCACATGGTCAGTGCTGTGTGTGACCAGGGGAGCTAGGATGAGAGAGGAACCCATGATCGGAAACAGCTGCCCTCAGCCCTTTCTTTATCCCCTGTCCCATCCTGGCAAGTGTCCACTTGTAATGAAGAAGGTGTCTTGGTATATGGCCACTGATGTCTGAGAGGTTGCTGGTGCCCTATTGCCGTAATGAGATGTTGCTAATGGGCTGGGACCAAGTCCGTTTCGTGCTGGAAGTGCTCTGGCCCCCATCCGGCACATATAAGCGCTCAGTATGAGCTCACTATCCTCCTTCTCCCTGCTGTCCTCTCCTCCCAGCTTTCCTCCTTCCCCTGATAGTCCTCCTCCTCCTGACAGTCTTCCTCCCCCTGGCTATCCTCCTTCTCCTGGCTCCTCTTCCTCCTAGCAGTCCTCCTCCTCCTGGCTGTTCTCCTCCTCCTGACAGTCCTCCTCCTCCTGACAGTCCTCCTCCCCCAATTATTCTCCTTCTCATGGCTGTCCTCCTCCTTCTGGCCCATCCCTGCCACGGCATCAGCAGGCAGGATGCGCCCTGAACCACATGTAAGATGTACTCGACCAGCCACCACCCCAGACCCAGGTCCCACTCTTGCCTCTTTCCTCTTTAGCCCTCAGCACCTCCTCACCTCCCAATGTGTGATCATTCACTGTGTTTCTCACGTACTATATCACCCACTCCACGAGGTGCTTGTCCTTGCTGCTATCCCCAACATGCCCAACTGAAATGATGGAGGTTTTGAATGACTGCATGGACTCGGTTGCATGCTACCTGTTGACAGTACACTCCCGCTAGGCCAGGTCCATCTAACTAAATGACCTCACTCTGTTCTGTGTTGCTCTGCAGTTTGAGATGCTCACGGGGTCCCTGCCATTCCAGGGGAAGGACAGGAAGGAGACCATGGCCCTCATCCTCAAGTGAGTAGGGGCTGCCCCAGGGACCTGTGAGTGCCCTCTGGGGTCAAGGGCTGCAGTCTTTAAATCTGGGCCAGGAAGAGGCAATGGCCTGGATGATAGACAGGCCTGGTATATTTTTATTTAAATGTTTTTCATTTGCAAGTTGAGGAATACAAGTGCATGTCTGCTAGTTACATGGGCATGCTGCGTACTGGTGGGGATTGGGCTTCTGGTGTCCCCGTTCTCCAAATCCTGAGCATTGTACCCAAGAGGTAGCTTCTGCCTGGTGTTTTCCTGACCATGTATCATGCGAACTGCCCACCATGGATGGAACTCTACCCCAGGTGAGCCCTCCTGCCACAGATAAAGTTTTCTGTCCATCACAGCCATCTAAAATTGCAGGGGCTGCTTTCCAGACATGATGAGTGGTAACCTTCCAGACGCAGAGCAGGAGGCTCCAAGGCCTCACAGCCTTCCTCCAGAGAGGACACAGGAGCAGGACTTTCCTTTCCGTCCCCACCTGCCAGCCCACCTGGCTGATGCTGGCAGGGATGGGCATCATTTTGCCCAGGAGATTGAATACAAACTGTTTTCTGTTTAATTCTCATGAAGAATCATTTCTCAAGCAAAGGACTTTCGCTCTCAGAACTGTAGAAAGAAGCCTGACCCCAGGGCCACCTTCTATAGCTTCCTCAGTGTAATCCTCGCAGGCCAACCCCAGAAACTGGGGTCCACCCATGAGGCCAGGCAGATTCTTGGCTTCGTGCAGGAAAGTGTTCAAGCACAAGCTGTAAGTAGGAGACAAAAAGTTTGTTTATTAAAGAAACAGGTCCTCAGGCAGAGCAGCTCCCATGCATCACTGGGGCTTCCGTTAGAAAATGGAAGTCAGTTTCCTGAAATGACAGGGCAGGTAGCTTCATGGGCAGAGCGGTCCAGGCTGGTCCATGGGAAGAACAGCCATCCATCGCTGGGTTATATACTCTCTCTCAATGATACGCTAAGCAAGGGGTGGATTATTCATGGGTTTTCTGGGAAATGGGGCAAATTGTTCCCAAAATCAAAGTTTCCTCCCCTGTTTACACCACCTAGAGTAACTTCCGGGGGTTACCATGGTAATTGCAAACTGTCATGGCACTGATGGGAGTGTCTTTTCACACACGAATGTGTCATCATTAGCGTATAATGAGCAACAGAGGTGACTTTCGAGGCCATCTTGGTCTCTGTTGGTCTTGGCTGGCTTGTGACCTTCATCCTGGACACTAGTTCTACTAGGTCCCTATGTCATGAACAGACATCACTGACCCTGAGAGTCCAAGAAGGGCAAGAGGGGAGCAGAGGAGGGAGGACCGAGAGCAGGGAGGCAGGACCCCCAAATCTACTCCTCCCTGCCAAATGAGGTGGAAGAACTAAAAAGTTTGTCCTTGTGCCTGGATCGTACAGGCTCTGCTTTCACATGGATTTGACACTTTCACAACATTGAGCAGCGCCTCAGACCCCTCCAGCTACGCTTTCGTAAGTTAGGTTGTCACATAAGTGGGAGGAGAGGAGTAGGCAGAGGAAGCCCCCAGAGAGCCTCCCTGTGGAGGGCCAGGGGAGTCCTTCCAGTGAACAGCCTCTTCCTCTGTCGAGGGACCTTGAGTTGAAACTCCATACCTTCAGCCCGTACCTCTGTTGCTTGAATTTTAAGGGAGAATGAGGTCTTCACTTTTTCTAAAACTGAAATAATCCCCCCAGCAAGTCACAGGTGTGGACTCACAACCTGTCACTTGGGAGTAACAGATTTTCTGAAGGGAAGCGTCAAGCTCTGTGACCGGGGTTCCCAGTGCAGCTCAAGGTCCTTGGGGCCCTGGGACTCCCTGGGATTGCAGGGTCCTTCTTCTCCCAGGTCTTCTTCATACTATCACAACAGACCAAACCAGGACAGACAAGAGGGTCCAGCTATCTCCTGTCCAGTCCGGAGGAGACCCGCTAGAATGCAAAGCAATGGCATGGAAGGCTTTTTGTTTTTTGAAAGCATAGATGATTTCCATTAATGTTATTTATGTTAATGGGATATTGTTTTTAATAATTCTTATTATTCTTAAATAATTATTTATTATTAATCAAAATGTTTTAGTTATTAAAATTGACTCTTACCTGTCAGTGGTTAAAATGTCTCAGCTTTAACTTCCGACATGGTAGATAGCATGGCTGCTGCCACATACACAAATGCTGTCTGATATCCTCAGTAACTGTGGAGGGTCAAGGGTCCTGTGGCCAGCCCCATGTGACAGCTGCTCTGTGACAGTCCTAGTGCCAACTGGGAAGCGCCTCTTCACACCTGTCCCTGTGACCCTCAATGATCCTAGATTGTGGTTGTTTTCCAGAGCCAAGTTGGGGATGCCTCAGTTCCTAAGCGTGGAGGCACAGAGCCTGCTGAGAGCCCTCTTCAAGCGGAATCCCTGCAACCGACTGGGTAAGTCCCGGGGCACCCTGACCCCACAGGGATGTAACAGAACACCCCAAGCCCCATGAGGATGTGGGACATCCCTGTGACTCCCCATGGGGATGTGAAGGGGACCCCCTCAGCTTCACAGGAATGTGGAGGGAACACCCCTGTGACCCCCATAGGAATGTGAAGGGGACACCCCCAGCCTCACGGGGATATGAGGACATACCTATAACCCCCCATAGGGATGTGGAGGAAACACCTCCAGCTTCACGGGGATATAGGGATACCCTTGTAACCCCCCCATTGGGACGTGGAGAGAACACCTCCAGCCCCACAGGAATATGTTGGGGATATCCAACATGGAAATGTGGAGGGGACACCCCAGCTTCACAGGGATATGGTGAGGACATTCCCGTATCCTCCCATGGGGATGTAGAGGGAACAGCCCACTAGAGATATGTTGGGGATACCCCCATGACCCCCCTAGGAACTTGGAGGGGACACCCCAGCACCACAGGAATATGGTGGGGATATCCCCATGACCCCCCATGGGGACATGGGGGGCACCCCCAGCTTCACAGGAATGTGGTGTGGCTAGCCCTGTGACCTCCCTATCCCCGCTTGAGGATATGGGGGGGCCGTCTTCCTGTTCCCACCCAACTCTTACCAAGTCACCCATTTTACAAAGGTCTCTGAAAACAGACCTTACATAGAGATGGGAATAGTATCACACACACTGACTGAGCTCCCAGGACACAAGGTCTCTCATGATTTCTAGAATACGTAGTCACTGTCAAAGCATTGTAAGCTATTTTCTGAAAGTCGCTAGGTTGACATACGTGTACAGTAGTGGTGTTCTGTCTACCAATTTGACTTCCCTTTCTTCTGGAAGTCTGTGAACTAAGGACACAGTAATTAAAAGCTGCTTCTCAGCCGGGCTCGGTGGCTCAGCCTGTAATCCTGCGACTTTGGGAGGCTGAGGTGAATGAATTGCCTTTGCCTGTGGGTTCGAGACCCACCTGGGCAGCGAGACCTCATCTCTACAATAAATCAAAAAATCAACCGGACATGGTAGCGCATGCCTGTAATTCCAGCTACTCGGAAGGCTGAGGCGGAAGGATCGCCAGAGCCCAGCAGGCGAGGCTGCGGTGGCCGGGAGTGGCCACTGCACTCCAGTCTGGGCGACAGAGTGAGACTCCAACTCAAAAATAAAAATAAATAAATAAATAAAAGCTGCTTCTCTGGTCTTGCTGATGTTGAACCAGCCCTGCGTCCTAGGGACTAAAAAAAAAAAAAGCTGCTTCTCATCTAATCCCTCCTAAATTAAAGAATCTCAGCATTGATTCAGTTAAAGTTAAAATTAAAGTTCAGATTTACTCTAATATTACTAAGTCCTGGTTCATTTTCTTTTTGTTGTGTGACAACGTACTGAGGATTACCCAGTTGGTGGGCAGGGCTTAGGGACTGGCTGGGACATGTCTGAGTACAGGTCCACCATGAGGGTCAGAGCTGTATAAGCACAGGAAGATGAAGGGAACAAAGTACTTCCTGTTCCTTTAAATGTAACCTCACAGAGCGAAGATATATAATTAGGAAAGGAAGGCAGAAGTTAAGTTAGGAAATATTTCATTTTGGATAAAAAAGAAAGAAAGAAAAATTGACTCTCTTGTCTGCATGCCTCAACCCCCAAAAAAGATCAGACCCACTTACCTTTTCTGCCACCTCAGCTTAAGTTTCAGGGAATTTTGCACTAATTTGTGATATTTTCACAGCTCATGAGACAGTTCACGTGTGACTACTCCATGGCCTTAGGAAAAAGGGAGTTAAGGTGGTTTTCAAAAATCAACATCGACACATTTAAAGTACTGAGTCATTCACATGAAATTCATAGTTGTGGACTATAATTGTGTGCAGCTAATTAAACACATCTGCATGCAACTTCTAACCTGGATTTTGCCATGTACACCACTGTTCCTTCCCACCGACTCATTTTCAAGATAGTTTCTTACTTTATAAGAAGGTTTCCCCTAGTTACCTTGACCCAGCTGTTCCCTACATGCCTCTGGGTATTTAAAAATTCAGCTCTGCAGACTTCCCAGGGGCCCATCTCTGGTGGCCGTCTGTCCACTCCACCTCTTTTTAATCCTCCCACAGTCTGGTAAAGCACCTCACCCTTGTCACCAAGCACTTGTGCTGAGTGTGATGACCAAGGAGTGAGGAACGCAGAGCTCCTGTGGCCGGCAGGGTGCGGCTGTCCTCCTCAGCCCATGGGAGCCACAGGGAGCCATGGAAACCAGCAAGGAACCATTTTCTGCCCATGGTGTCAGCCCAGGGGCATGTGGCTTGGGTCTAAAATCAACCCCTGCCTGTGGGCCCCTCAGCAAAAGGCATTAAAATATGAAGTATATGTACCCTTCCCTTTCACCTAGACGTTCTACTTCTAGAAATCTATCCCACAGAAGCACCCATGCCCATGTACAAGTGATATGTATAATGTTTGCTGATGGTCCTTCTGCCTAGAAAGACCTGGAGGCAAAATAAATCTTGATCAGTGAAGAAATTGTTGAATAAATTATGACATATCTGCACTGAGGCTGCTGGGTCACCGTGGACAACCATGTGGGTGGGAGGATAGCAACTCCCTGAGGCTGGGCTCTGGCGGCCTTTGGGCTGGGTGATTCCTGTTGTGGGCGCTGTCCTGTGCACTGGGAACCCACCTCCACCTCATGACAATCGAATGTCTCCAGACATCAGTAAAGTCCCTGGTGGACAGGTCTGATGAGGGAGGTGCCAGTGTCTACACGGGTTTGCAATGATGAGGGGCTGGAGGGTATAGACTCGTCCTGCTTTGGACTTGTGCCACCCACACCATAGACACCCACAGGGGCCTAATCCCCAGCACCACCTGGCACCCACCCCTCACTTGATGTCTGTGAAAAGGGATAGCTAGTGGGTCATTGCACACTTTACGGAGCTGCTGCAACAGAAGGATCGAGAGACTAGGCTGTACGGGCAGGGACCACTCAGCTGGCCAGAGGCAGCTTCCAGGTGGGACACTCACCATGTTGCCACGGAGGGAGGCCCAAGGTCATCCCAGGAGAGCAGCCCCGGTCATCAGGTTGCAGAACACGTCACAGATGCTGTGGGGAGTGACAATGGGGGGAGGGTCCAGGATGGAGAACATTCAGGACCAGAGCAGACACCTGCCCATGACAGCAGGTCTGTACTGCGGCACACGTGGGGCAGTGTGTGTGTGTGTGCATATGTATGTATGTGTGTGTCTGTGTACATGTGTCTGTATGTGTATGTCTATTGTGTGTGTCCATGTGTGTGCCTGTGTCTGTGTGTACGTGTGTGTGTGTGTGTGTGTGTGTGTTGGGTTCCCAGTTTGGAGGAACTTGCAGGCCAAACAGAATTTTTTCCACGTTGTTTCTGGATCCCTCAGCAGTCCCAGGTGAAGCCTGAAACCCCTAAGAATGGTTGCGACTCTTCCTTCTCAGTTGTGACTCATTGCTGGGCAGGTCCACACCCACATTTCCTCAAGCTGTCTATAACTCTTGCAGCCAGGCCCTTGCTGGGTTGTCCTGATGTGCATGCCTCCAACAAGTACATAGTGACACAGCTCAGGGAAGCGGCAACTGCCCCACACTCACCCCTCCTGTAGAGTGTCCTATGTCTGCGACGGGGCTCCTGCAGGCAAGACCTCCCCACCCAGGGTGGGGTCCCCATGATGGAGATGTGGTCTCAGGCCAAGGGACAGCCAAGGGCAGTGTTGCACGGACAGGCAGGAACAGGCATGGGATCTTTCCTGACCTTGGCATCTCACTGCAGGTCTGTCAGATCTGGTGTCATCTGGCCAGGGTGAGAGACCCACACCATGGAGACTCCCCTCTGTCGCCATGTCTGAGGAGGTGGACAGGCATCATTTCTGAACTGAGAGTGCATTGGGAGCCAGAGCCCGGGCTGTGACAATAAACGTGGCTTCCAGTTAAACCAGTTCATTGCCATGCCCTGATTTGTCTCTAAATGGCCCATCGGGGGTTGTGATGAGGTGTCCATTTCTGGTCTGGCTGTCCCAGGTGTGGATTAAGTTGAACACCTCTTGCTGTGTCTCCGCCAGTGCTAAGAGCAGCACCCAAGTAGCCCTTCCCCAGGCCGAGGGGATTGGGAGCCACTGGCAGGACTTGCTGCCCAGCTGGTGGGGCCTCGCCACTTGAGAACACACCAAGTAAAGTCGGGTTTGTGCATATCACAGCAGTACCTTTGAGTGTTATTTCCAGCCGTTTCTGGCCCCCTGAAACCCACCCATTGTCCAGACCTCCTGGTCTAGTTCCATGAATCTGTTAAATGTCTGGTCCTGACCAGTCATCTGTAATGAACCCGGAGTGACCCTTTATTATGTCTGTGACTGTCCTTCCTGAGTCCTCTACGTTGTCAGACGTAAGCATGGTCTCCCCATGAAGCACTGAGAGGTGCTCCACGTTGCCGTGGGGCAGGGTCCATGGACGGCCTCTGCCTTTCCTCGGCCTGAGCAGTCTTTTAGTAAAGAAGGAAACAAGTCCTTGTCCTCCTCCAAACCCTGGGTTTCTCCCTGGGATGGTGATGGTGGTGGTGATGATGCTGACGGTGACAATGATGATAGTGGTGGTCATGATGGTGACGATGATAGTGATGGTGATGATGAGGGTATGGTGATGACAGTGATGATGATGGTGACGGTGATAGAGGTAATGGTGGTGATGATGAAGGCGATGGTGGGGATGATGATGATGTTGATGATCGTGATGGTGATGGCGAATGATAATGGCGGTGATGAAGATGAAGGTGATGATGGCGCTGATGATGATTGTGGTGATGGTGATGATGATGGTGACAGTGACGATAATGGTGGTCGTGATGGTGATGATGAAGGTGACACTGATGATGTTGACGAGGGTGATGATGACAGTGATGGTGATGATGGTGACAATTACTGTGATGATGGCAGTGATAAGAACGATGACAGTGTGATATGGTGATGATGG